TTTTTGTTGTTGAGTTGTCGAAGTGGTCTGTACATTTTACATATCAAAGCCTTATCAGAGATATCATTCCCAAAGATTTTTCTCCCCAGTCTGTAAGTTCTCTTTTTATTCTTTTGATAAAGTTTTTTGATGAGCATAGTGTTTAATTTTTAGTAGGTTTCAGTTACCTAATTTGTCTTCTGTTGCTCATGCATTTGAGATAGTGTTTCGTAATTTATAACTAAAAATAATTAACTCTTACAGTTTTTTATAGATAGTTCTAAAAAGAGCATAATACTCATGGAAGACACTTTCTGCTAGTTAAACTGAACTATTGTTTGGTTTTAAAAAGAATTCAGGGGATATATTTTGTTTATGGTTTAGAGATCATCTCAAGGCAGTAGTTTCAAGGACTCATCAGACATTTTTTAAAAAACAAGATCCATTGTTATTGAGTCAGTTCTGACTCATAGCAACCCCATGTGTTACAGAGTAGAACTGCACCATATGGTTTCTTAGGGGCAATCTACTTCTGTAAGGATTTATCACCTTGGAAACCCAATGGAGATGGCTATGAGTTGGAATCGACTCCATGGCAGTGGGAATCTTCACAGAATCAGACAAGAAGCCTCTGGGTATTTCCAAACTACTAATTTTTCACCCAGGTGATTCCAATATGCAGCCAAGGTTGGGAACCACTGTTCTAAAGCCAAGCACTTAACTGTTTTCACCTCTCAGTAACACCTGATTTCTTTTAAGGAAGGTAATCAGGTTGAGAAGGGAAGGGATGAAGTCTGGTAACTATTGCAGCTGAAAATAGTTTCTTCCTTAATGGTTTGCTGAACCTGGCAGAAAAGACTGGCCTATAGGGTGTGAAGTCACCACCCACCAAAGCAATAATTTAAATCATCTGAGGAGCTTTAGTGGCATAGTGGATAAAGCATTTGGCTGCTAACCAGAAGGTCAGCAGTTCAAACCCACCAGCTGCTCTACAGAAGGAAGATGGGTGATCCACTTTCATAAAGATTACAGCCTTGGAAACACAATGTGGGTCACTATGAGTTGGAATCTACTCAGCAGTGAGTTTGGTTTTTGGTTTTGAGGAGCTTTCCAAATCTTCTCCAGGGCACCCCCCTCCCACCCTAAACCCACTGCCAGCAAGTCAATTCCGGCTCATTATGACCCTGTAGGACAGAGTAGAACTGCCCCATAGGATAGCCAAGGTTATAAACCTTCACAGAAGCAGACTGCCACATCTTTCTTCTGCAGAACAGCTGGTAGGTTCCAACCTCCAGCCTTTCAGTTAGCAGCCAAGTGCTTAACCACTGTGGCACTAGGGCTCATAGGGTAAATCAGACCAGTTAAATCAGAATCTGTGGGGATGACACCCAAGTATTAGGGTTTCTCAAAGACCCCACCCAGATGATTCCAATATGTAGCCAAGGTTGGGAACCATTGTTCTAAAGTCTTGGTTAAAAAAATTAAAGAGCTTTCAAGAACTTTTCCATTTTGTTTCCTACAAATAAGATTTAGTAAAATACTGCATCAATCTCCTCAGCTGCTTTCACAAAGCTGCAGTAAGGACCATTGCTGTTTCTTTGGGACATATAAAAAAATTCAGGCAACCTTGTATTTGCTCTTCAAAACCCAAAGGGAGCAGAGAATGCAAAGGGGGTAGGTAGGGGCATTTTATAAGCATATATGGTATTATAGAGTACCTATCTCAGAACCTAACCCACATAATTTTGAAAGTATGACTAGATAAGTTAGCTGTTGAGACTTTGGTGGCTTAGTGGTAGAATTTTTGCCTTCCATGTAGGAGACCCAGGTTCAATTCCCAAGCATTGTACCTCATGTACACCGACCACTTGTCAGTCAGTGGAGGCTTACATGTTGCTGTGATGCTAAATATGTTTCAGTGGAGCTTCCAGATAAAACAGACTAGGAAGAAAGACCTGGTGATCTACTTCAGAAAATCAGCCAACGTAAACCTTATGGATCACGATGGTCTGATTCATAACCGATCATGGGGAAGACACAGGATCAGGCAGTGATTCGTTCCATTGTGCATAGGCTCACCATGAGTCAGGATTTTCAGTTGTGGAATGAATCAAAAGTGACAGTGAACAGTAATCAGGTTGAGATGACTGGAAATGATGTAGAGAAAGCCAAACAAGAATGGAAAAAAAGAAAAAAAAAAAGTTGTCATTGAGTCAGTTCTGACTCATGCGAGCCCAATGTATTACAGAGCAGAACTGTGCTTCATGGAGTTTCTTGGCTTTAATCTTTATGGAAGCAGGTAAACAGGGCTTTCTTCTGCAGTTAGAACCACAAACCTTTGGGTTAGTGGTCAAGTGCAAACCATTTGTGCTACCTGGAAACCTAAACAGACAGAGGTCACTATAAATCTAAAAGCCATCAAATATCCCTAAAAAGACCCTGACTGAAAGATTTCTACTTGTTCCTATGGATTATGGTAACTATGGTAAAAGCCAAGACCCTCCACCACCACACATACACACATCATTTTCCATAAGAATAGGAATACATTATTGTACAACCCTCTCACTTGTTCCCAATTTTACACCCATGTTGTTCCAATGTGTGATTTATGCAATACGTTTGAAAATAAAATTGATGAACACTCAATTCAGTGTGTTCCATGCAAAATTCTCCAAAATAGGGGCTATGTTGTCCCTGGGTGACACAAACAGTGAAGTGCTCAACTACTAGCCAAAAAATTGGCAGTATAACCCACCAAGAGGTGGCTCAGAAGACAGGCCTGAGGATCTGCATCCAAAAGATCACAGCCTTGAAAACCCTATGGAGCAAGCTTCTAGTGTGGTGCAAAGGAGAAGGTGGCATGACTGATGAGTCAGAGTGTGAGGTGGCTAATTCCTGATGGGATGGGGTGGGATCTGAGAGCTGCAGCCCTCTCGCGTCCTAGGGTTCCTGCAGGCAAAGACTTGAGTGACGGTGGGCTGGGCCCCTTTGTTTGGACAGGTGTGGGGATGGGCTTGCCCAGATTCCACAGGACAGACTCTTTTGAAAAACTCCTAAGTCTCTTGCTCATACCGTTGAATAAAACCATTGGTTCAGTGGGAACAAAAAAAACTAAGGAGCACAGTTCTATTCTAACACACATGGGACTACCATAAGTCAGAGTCACCTCTACTGCAACTACCAATAACAACAAAAATGCTGCTGGGTTTTTCCATGTCCCAGTAGATACCACTAATAATGTTAAAAATATGTGAAATATCCACTATACCCAAAAGTCTTCAAAGCAGAGATTCAAAAATTGACTTTCATACCAGGGTTCATTGTGGCATTATTCACAATAGCCAAAAAGGTAGAAACAACATCAACAGGAAATGGACAAGCAAAATGTGGTATACACATACAATGGAATACTACTCAGCCAGTAGGGGAAGTGAAGTCTTGATACATATGCTACCATATGGATGGAGCTTGCAGACATTATGCTGAGCAAAACAAGTCAATCACAAAAGGACAAATATGACCTCACTTATATAAAAAGACAAGAAGAGGCAAATGTATAGAGATCAGAGTATATTAGTGGTTACCAGGGGCAGGAATGATGGGGGAAAAGGCGATTAACGATAATAGAAAAATTGTATTGATTAGGGGTAGGGTTGCACAGCCAATTATTGTGATCACTACCAATAAGTTGTACACCTGTAAAATGTTAAATTGGCAAAAGTCATGTGATAGATATATTTACAAAAATGACAAGAGAAAAAAAGAGTAGCTGCTGAGGCTGTTTATGACAGCCAAACACTTTGTGGAATTTGGTTCCTTGGTTTGGAGGTTTAGGGTCATCGTTTCATGCAACAATCCAGTTAATTGGCCTAATATCTTTTTTTAGTGCTTCTGTTCTACTTCTTAGTTTGTTGTATAATGGCTGAAGTGTTAAAAACTTGCAAGCAGCCATCCAGGGCACCACAATTGGTCTCTGTTCTCCTGGAGCAACAGAGGAAGAGTCAGGAATAGGAGGAGGATATGGAATGTGTGGCTAATTGCTTCCATGGACATTTGCCTCCTTTATCATGAGATCAAAAGAACTGGGTATTGCCTGGCTACCATTACTGAGCATTTCCATCAAAGATTCCATGCAAGTATCCTGTCAAAAGGGGGGAAATACAGAACAGAATTTCAAATTTTCATTGTTGTTGTTGTTGTTGTGTGCCATCGAGTCAGACCTGACTCATAGCGACCCCTCCTTGGGTTTCCGAGGCAGTATCACTACGGAAGTAGATTGCCCCATCTTCCTTCCGAGGAGTGGCTGGTGGGTTTGAACCACCAGCCTTCTGGTTAGCAGTCAAGTGTCTTAGCCACTATGCTACCAGAGCTCCTTCAAATTCTCATAGAGTCTACATTTTTTGGTGCCATGGAGGCTGGGTGAACCCCAAAAACTATCCTTCTGAGATAATCTTTAAATCTTAAACCAAAAATATCCTTGGAATCATCTTAAAACCAAATAATAGTTTAGCTTAACTAGTAAAAAAAAAAAAATCTGCTTTGAGTATTATACTCTTTTAAGATCTATATGGGATCAAATTTACAACAGCAACTTGAAAGATTAGATAGGAACCTTAGGAGACAGTGAGTTTGTGTCGTGAGGAAGGAACAACTTATGCAAGGAGAGTGAGAATGGTTGCACAACTCTGAGAATGTAATCAATGACACTAAGTCGTATGTGTAGAAACTGTTGGATTGGTATATGTTTTGCCGTGTATCTTCTCAACAACACCAATAACATAGATACAATTTAAAAGGAAAAAATATGTAGAATATGAAAATCTGCAGGGAATGAAAATACAGTATTACCATAATCAAAACAAGAGATGCATTCTGTTCTAAAAGATCATGGTATGTTTATTACAGACCACTGGACCAACAGAAAGTCTTGAATATGCCAGCTTAGCCCAGTGCAGACAGAGGTGCTGGTTTCTCTGTTCTGTCCTAAGTAATGATGCTAAATGTCTGTCTGCTTACAGAATGACGTGGCTGCACTGCTGAAACCAATATCGGAGAAAATTCAGGAAATCCAAACTTTCAGAGAGCGAAACCGGGGGAGTAACATGTTTAATCACCTCTCAGCTGTCAGCGAAAGCATCCCTGCCCTGGGATGGATAGCTGTGGTGAGTCCAGACATAATGATACCTACAGCGGGTCGCATTTTTGCACTGTTTAGGAGAAACTCATAGCTGTGGTTCCTGCATTCACCTCTACGCTCCTCCTCCTCAGTCTGATGTACTACGGAAGATTTCTTTCAGGCACAGTGCATCAGCTCCTTCTTACCCTCTGTAATTAATGTTTTATGTTCTGTGGTGTGGAAAGTGTTTCACCAACCTTTGAATACGTTTCACAATTTGCCTCCAGCTTTCAAGTCAGCACCTCCATTGCTTTTCTTCTTCCTTGAGGCATTTTCTTTCTTATCCTGTTTTGTTTTGTTTTTTCCTCCTATGCTTGGGTGACGGTGCTGTTCCCTCAGTCTCCTAAACCTGGTCCTTATGTCAAGGAGATGAATGATGCCGCCACTTTTTACACTAACAGGGTCCTAAAGGACTACAAACATAGGTATGTACCTTCTTTTACTGACCCCTTTTCAATTGATCGTGTATTTGACATTTGTCCCTAAAACTTAACATAGTTAATGAATGATCCCTTTCAAAGGCTCTTAACTAGTATACTATAAACTTTAAGGAGTCCCTGGGTGGTGCCAAAATTTAAGTGCTTGCCTGCTTACTGAAAGGTTAAAGTTCAAGTCTACCCAGAGGTGCTGTGACAAAAAGACCTGGTATCTACTTCTGAATAAAATCAGCCATTGAAAATCCCATTGAACAGTTCTACTCTGACACACTTGAGATCAACATGAGTCAGCACTGACTCAGTGGCAACTGGTACTGGTTATAAACTTTGAGAAAAAACCTGTCTTTGCAGGTAAAGCAAAGTGGAATCAATTATTGAGATAATCTGTGTGTTTTAGAAAGCCTGCCTCAAAGCTCTTGTAATGAATAATCTCTCCCAGCTTGAATGTATGTCACTATTGTATATATCCCTGCCTTAGTGAGACAGCTTTGTAAATGTCAGTTTGTGATGGAACAGCACTATATGGTCCCAAAACTTTTACACTGATCATAGAACAGGCTTTACCCAGGAGCATATGTAGAGTTGGTGGGTAAACAGATACAGAAGAGGAGGAATCAGGAAATGAAGTGCAAATAAAGAACAGAAATGATATGAGGATCTAAATCAGGCCAAAGAGAAACCAGAGATTGAATTAAGATGAAATACAGTTGAGGTGGGGACAGACTTCCATAAGAGTAGCAGCCATTCAGAGAGCTGTGGGAAGCAGATTAGTTTGAACTAAAGGGCTGTGACTGGAAACTAGCTGGAAAGGACCTTGTAGTCTACAGCATAAATTATAGATCTACCACCCATCTGTCAGTTTATCATACTTGTCAGTTTATCTACTGTGGTGGCTTGCATATGGCTCTCATGCTGGAAGCTATGCCACCTGTATATCAAATACTAGCAGTATCACCCATGGGAGACAGGTTTCAGTGGAGCTACTAGACTAAGGTAGACTAGGAAGAAAGGCCTGGCAATGTACTTTTAAAAATTAGCCGGTGAAAATCCTATGGATCACAACAGAAGATTGCCCTAGAGAGTGCTGGATGATGAGCCCTCTAGGTTGGAAAGCACTCAAAATACACAGTGGCTGCAACAGTGGACTCGAGTGTACCAATATATACTCAATAAATATAGATACAAAAGAATTTTTTACAAAATATGTATAAGATATAAAGAATTACCATATAAAGAATTCCTGCACTTCCACTGCTCAGTTTAAGACATATGTACCAATATTTCTTTACTATAAAAAACAGCCACACCTAGAAATTTTACTCCTAGTTATGTTCCTAAGAAAAATGAAAACATGCCCTCACAAAAACTTGTACATGAATGTTCACAGCAGCGTTATTCATAAAAGCAAAATAGTGGAAGCAGCTACAAAGATATCCATCAACAGATGAATGGATAAACAAGGTGTGGTATAGCCATACAAAAGAATATTATTCAGCCACAAAAAGGAGTGAAATATTGGTACATGTTATCTTCGTTACCTAGTGCTGCTATAACAGAATACTACAAGTGGATGGTTTTAACCAGCAGAAATTTATTCCCTCAAAGTTTAAGAGGAGCTCTGGTGGTGTAGTGCCTAAGGCATTTGACTGCTAACCAGAAGGCTGGTGCTTTAAACCCATCAGCCACTCCTCGGAAGGAAGGTTGGGCAATCTACTTCCGTAGTGATACTGCCTCGGAAACCCAAGGAGGGGTCGCTATGAGTTGGATCTGACTCATCAGCAGTGAGTTTGGTTCTGGGAGCTCAGGTAGTGTAGTGCTTAAGGCATTTGACTGCTAACCAGAAGCCTGGCGGTTCAAACCCACCAGCCATTCCTCGGAAGGAAGGTTAGGTCAATCTACTTCTGTAGTGATATCATCTCAGAAACCAAAGGAGGGGTTGCTATGAGTCAGATCCAGTTCAACAGCAGTGAGAGTTTTAAAGTTTAAGAGGCTAAACAAAAATAAAAAACAAACTCACAGCCGTCGTCGAGTCATTTCCAACTCATAGTGATCCCCATTGGGTTTCTGAGGCTGTAAATCTTTACAGAAGTAGATTGCCCAGTCTTCCTTCCAGGGAGCAACTGGTGGGTTTGAACCCCTGACCTTCTGGTTAGCAGTCAAGTGCCTTATCTACTATACCACGAGAGCAACCCAAACTCTAGAAGTCCAAATTCAGGGTGCCAGCTATACAGGAAGGCTCACTTTCTCTGTTGGCTCTGCAGGAAGGTCCTTGTCTCTTTAACTTCTGTTTCCTGGTTCCTTGGAGATCTCTGTATGTCTTAGCATCTCTTTCATCCTGGGTCTAGGAGGTTCTCAGTACAGGGACCCTGAGTCCAAAGGATGTACTCACTCCCTGCTCTTCTTTCTTGGTGATAATCAGGTCCCTCTGATCTCACTTTAATCTCTTTTTTATCTCGAAAGAGATTGTCTCCAGATACAACCTAATCTTGCAGAATGTGTCCTGTCTCATTAACATAACTGTCACTAATCCTTCTTCATTAACATCATAGAGATTCACAACACATAGAATAATTACGTCAGATCACAAACTAGAGGAAAAGTACTGGGAATCACGACCAACCAAGTTGACAGATATTTTGGAGGAAGCAATTCAATCCATAACACATGCTACCACATAAGTGAACCTTGAAAACATTGTGCTGAGTGAGAGAAATGAGCACAAAAGGCCATATATGTTCTGCATCCATTTATATGAAAGATCCAGAATAGGGAAATCCCTAGACAGAAAGTAGGTTAGTGGTTGCCTAGAGCTGAGGTTTGGAAGAATTAGAGAATGACTGCCTATGAGTATGGAGTTTCTTTTTGGAGTGATGAAAATGTTTTTTAATTGATGATTGTGTTGATGATTGCACAATTCTGTTGAACTGTTGAATTATACACTTTAAATGAGTGAATTGTATGGTGTGTGAATTATAACTGAATAAAGCTATTATATTAAAATAAAATAAAAAAATTTAAATAGCCACCAAACCAAACCAAACACACTGCCATCGAGTCGAATCCAACTCATAGCAACCCCTCCTTGGGTTTCCAAAGCAGCATCTCTACGGAAGTAGATTGCCCAACCTTCTTTCCAAGGAGTGGCTGATGGGTTTGAACCGCCAGCCTTCTGGTTAGCAGTCAGATGCCTTAGGTACTACGCTACCAGAGCTCCCAAAATAGCCACAGTGCTTTCCTTATAGAGTGTAGTCATTCTGTGTTGGCAAAATAGGTCTTGTATCTTTTTATCTTTATGGAAAAGCAGTTTTATTATGGAGAAATACTATCTAATTCCAGTATCTCTAGGGGGCCTCTTTCCCTCCTATGATCTCTTCCTACCCCAAGGGAACTTGGTTAAATTATTTATGCTCAGTGACTCATAGTCTTCCTGTACCCACAGAACTGTGATTGAAGTAATTGATCCCAATGACATGATCCAGATGTTGTCATGTTGTGTCAGAGACTATATATACACCAGTTGTTAATTCCAACTCATGATGATCCCATGTGTATCAGAGTAGAACTGTGCTCTATAGAGTTTTCAGTGGTTGATCTTTCAAAAGTAGATCACCAGGCCTTTCTTCTGAGGCTCTGGGCACATCCTTTTGGTTAATAAACAAATGCTTAACCATTTGCACCACCTAGTGATACTGCCTCAGAAACCCAAGTAGGGTCGCTATGAGTCAGGTCCGACTCGATGGCACATAACAACAACAACAACAATAGGGACTCCACTGGAAACTATAAAACCACTACCATCAAGTCAATTCTGACTCATAGTGAACCTTGATTGGGCTTCCAAGGCCATCAATATTTATGGAAGTAGATTGCCTCATCTTCCTCCTGAGGAGCACCTGGTGGGTTTAAACCACCAGCCTTCTGGTTAGGAGCCAAATGCCTTAACTCAAACCAAAAACCAAACTCCCTGCTGTAGAGTCAGTTTGAACTCATAATGACCCCTCCTTTGTTTTCCGAGGTGGTATTACTGCAGAATTAGATTGCCCAATCTTCCTTCTGAAGAGTGGCTGGTGGGTTTGAACCGCCAGCCTTAGCAGTCAAATGCCTTAGGCACTATGCCACTAGAGCTCCTATGCCTTAACTAGAGACTATAGAATTGTGCAATATGAATGAGGAAAGGCATCAGAGAAGATACCCTGCTCTTACCAACTAAAAGTAACAGTTCAGAAATGAACAAGTTTAGTTCTAAAATCTGGGTGTTAAAATATGCCAGCATGAACAAATACCTATAGTCACATCCATATCAGAAAATACTTTCTGCACTTAGTCCTTTTTTTTTTTTTTTTTTTTCAGTATGTACACACAGACTTATATGGGCCTATTCAGGACACCTTAGGCTTCATCACCTAGGCCTCTGCCTTTTTTTGCATATCACCCTTGGAAGCCATTTTTATTTTTTATCTCTATCTCGGCTCAACAACTCCTGTCCTCCTCCCCATCCCTACTTGACTGTATGTTGGGGTCATCATGCATGTTGGTGATTCTCCAGGTAACAGCATATTCAAGAGAGTTGAGTTTTCCACATTTTTCGTACACATATAAAAACAAAAACCAAACTCACTACCATTGAGTCAATTCCAACTCATAGCAACCCCCATTGGGTTTCAAAGGCTGTTAATCTCTACAGAAGTAGATTGCCCTATCTTCCTTCCTCAGAGCAGCTGGTGGGTTTGAACTGCTGACCTTCTGATTGGCAGCCAAATACCTTATCCACTATACCACCAGAGTCCGGTATTTGCCCCACAATGCCAGTTACTAAGTAGAAAATGTACTTCTGGCATCATCAGAGGACAACTCAAGCCTATTGAACCACCAAGCTAGAGCGGCAATTTCGTTCCCTTACCTCTTGTTGTTGTTGTTGTTATGTGCCGTCGAGTCAAACCCAACTCATAGTGACCCCTCCTTGGGTTTCCGAGGCAGTATCACTACGGAAGTAGGATTGCCCAACCTTCCTTCCGAGGAGTGGCTGGTGGGTTTGAACCGTCAGCCGTCTGGTTAGCAGGCAAGTGTCTTAGCCACTATGCTACCAGAGCTCCCGCCCTTACCTCTAGGAGGAGTTAAATCAGCCCCAAGTCACTTTTGAACTTCTAGGGGTGGTAACTCAACAAATGCAGAATGTTCCACATCCCCCCACTATTTATAAGCAGACCCCAGTCTGCCATACCTTCCCTCTGTGGGCTCAGTGAGGGCTGTGGGATGTTGTCTTATTTACCTAGGACTGTTGGAACACAGATAGGCAAGTGGGTGGCTTTAAAGAACGGAAATTTATTTTCTCACTGTTCTGGAGCCTGAATCAGTTCTGGAGGTACAAAACATGCTCAGAAAAAAATCATTATCAACAAGAGCTTTAACAATAGAGATTTCCTTCAGTGACTAGCTTCAGATTAATTGCCTAGATACTTAATTAAATTTTTGTTAACTGGAATTTCATCATCTCATTCAGAGTGGTAAAAAGAAAAATGGAGGGTGGGCATTATCAAAAGGAAATGCAACTATTTTCATCTACCTATAATTTTAATATTTCTAATATTTCTTTTAATCCTGTATGTTAATTGCTATGAAAGGTAAGCATTTCAGTACTTTTTTTTGTTCAATAAAGTATGGATAAAAATACTTATCATGCTTTGCCTAGCTTGGATTGTCACTCTGAATATCAAATAAGATAATTTAAATGTCCTTTGAGAAGTATGAAGTGTTACTCATTTGTAGGAAATGAGTGTCATTTTTCTTATGATACCAGCTTTCTCTTACCATTCATAAATGACTACATTTGTCCAATTAGGTTATGCTTTGAATTGACTTAATAAATTAGAAAGCAAGCAAAGCAACTTTTTTCTTTTCCATACCATTCTCACTCCTGAGCAGTGGTCATGAGGCTTGATGTCACCTAATGAGGTAATTCATGGTGTCAATCCCGTCTGAGCAGACCCAGCCAACAAACTTCCACCTCATGGATGGAGTGACTGGCCTTGCCCTGCCTGTCCCGGCCCCATCCCAGCAGCTCCCCAAGCTCTTCCCCTCACCCATTTGGCCAAGGCAGAGACCATCCTCTCTGCCCAATGGCAGGCTCCATGGGCTACCTGCCCACACCTGGATTGGTGAGTGATAGGGGAGAGAGGTGACAAGTTACCACACTGGGTGACAGGTGACACCAACCCTAGTGATTGCCACTGCCTTGGTAGTGCCTCCCCAGCTGCAGTACATAACACACACACACACACACCACTGCCACCTCCAAAACTAGGGACTCCAGGGTGATTTTGGTGTCACCCCCTCTGACAGTGTCAAGTGGTGTTGTCCCCATTCCCTTAGTGATGCCCCTGTTCCTGAAAGCATATTATTTTTCATTTGGCATCAGATGCAGTAAAGAAAGAATTAGTCTCCCCTCCATAGTCACCTCCTCATTAGAGATGAATGAATTTGATGAAACCAGAAACAGTGCCCCAGGCTTCTCAGTTTGGTAATGTCCCCTCTTCTGTGGCCCAGCCTGCTCCACATTTGGAGCTCAGGTACTGGACCATCCACTGCCTTATCCCAGGAGAGTACTGGGCCAACTTCCTCCCAACAGTCTTTTCAGAGTCAGTTCACAGATCTGGGGCTAGGAAGGCAGTTGTTCCAGGGCCATCCAGAGCTTTATACACTGGATAGCTTTGTGCCCTCAATCTTTTTAAAATGTATCTTACATCCTAACTTTGCTCTCTGCCACTTTCCTTTATAACACAGTGATCTGCGCCATGTCGATTGGGTGAAGTCATATTTGAACATTTGGAATGAGCTCCAGGCATACATCAAGGAACACCACACCACAGGCCTCACTTGGAGCAAAACAGTAAGTACCCGGTTCGCTCCCACTTGGGTAGCAAGTGGCCAAGAAAATATTCATGAAAATAGTCATACTCATTGGCCTAGTTACCTCACGCTTCAGAATTTACCTCAAGGAAAGCATAAGATAAACCACGTATGTCAAAAGCTGTTTATGGAAATGTCACTTGTAATAAAGAAATGTCTTCCTACATGACATACAGAAAGACATATGGACGTACAGAAAGAAGATGGTTAAGTTCTCTATGGTAAAAATGCAATGAAACACTCTGAAGTCATTGAAAACATGAGATGATTACATGTACAACTGTTTACCAATTCATGTGAAGTGAATAAGTCAAGCTCAAAAATTTATGAATAAGACGGAATATGTGTTCAGAAATTGTGATGAAGACTGAAGGGAACAGGAAGTTGAGAAGGGTTGTAATTTTTAAGAAGTCAATCCTAGCAATCTTAGTAATATCCTAGTGGTTGAATAAAAATCCCAGCCTGTGTCTGTTCCCACTTTAATTCCCAGGTTAATCTGACCTGTGCCTTCTTCTTCAGTTTGGTGTCTCCTGTCTTCCTATGTTTCACTGAGTATACCAGCAATACCAAACTCCTTGTGGTATCATGGATACACTTCATGTTGAATCATTATTACATTGAACCAAATGAAATTGTATTCTTTCATATTATTTAACCTCTATTGCATGGGGCCAGTGGTGGTCCAGTGGTAGAATTCTCCCCTTCCATGCAGGAGACCCAGGTCAATTCCCAGCCAATGCCCATCATGCACAGCCACCACCCATTGGTCATTGAGGCTTGTGTGTTGCTATGATGCTAAACAGATGTCAGTGGAGCTTCCAGACTAAGACAGACTAGGAAGGAAGGTCTGGTGACCCACTTCTCAAAATGAACTAGTAAAAACATATGGATCATATGGTCTGATCTACAACCAGTCATGGAGATGAAGCAACATTTTGATCCGTTGTACATGGGGTCACCATGAATCAGGGGCCAACTCAATGACAGCTAACAACCTTTATTGCAATATCCTGAACATATACCATGCTATATAACTCAACTCCCTGGGCAAAACACCCCTACCCCTTCTTAAACTGGCTTAACTGCTATGCAGCCTATAAGACTCAGTTCAAAGATCACTTCTTTGAGAACCTTCCTTGGTCTCACTTGGCTCCTCTTCTAGGATGGACAGCTCTCCTCTGTGCCTCTTCTGTATGTTGACTAGACCTCAATCATAGCACTTAGCATATGGATCTGTAATTTTCTATGTAACACTGGGACTCTCCCCACTTGACTGAAAACTCATCTCTCCATCCAGTCCCTAGATAGGTTCTGGTACTAAGTAAGTACTCAGTAAATGGTTGAACTAAATTGTGAATTTGGGGAATCTTAGACTCTCCTTTGCCCTTTTTAGTTGCTGTACTTGTTATAGAAAGGCTTGTCATGAAAGCTCCCTTCAGTTAACAATGAAATGGTATTTTTAAGTGGTTACAGTGGATGGTCTGACCACTACAGTGGATGGTAGTAAATGAGAAGATGAAGTGGCACATTTGTGAATTCCATTCAAAGGTCAAATACTCACTCTCCTGATAGCTATACTCCAGCATCTAATTCTTCATGTCAGAATGTTGGTGTCAATATTAAAAAACACACTACCATTGAGTTGATTCCAACTCATAGCAACCCTTTAGGACAGAGTATAACTATCCCATAAAGTTTCCAAGACTGTAAATCTTACAGAAGCAGACTGCCTCATCTTTCTCCCACAGAGTGGCAGGTAGGTTCTAACCACCAACCTTTTGGTTAATGCTTTAACCACTCTGCCACTAGAGCTTCTGGGTGTCAGTATAGTAGGCTTGATATGAAGGCTGAGTTTATGATTTTTCAAGGGATTATGGGACTTCTACATTGTTACTCAACACTGAGCCCTAAATACTGACACTTCTTTTTTTTTTTTTTCTACTTTGCCTCTTTTCTTTATAACTCTGAAATGCACAGTGAAAAATATAACTAAATTGGTTGATTTCTTTTCTTCTGCCTACAATATTATGATTTTTGAGAAGAGAGTTCATAAGCATTTGAAGGGTTTTAGTAAGGAAGGCTATGTGTGAATGTGAATGGCTGTTTACATAGACTAATTGGGATTATTTTTCATCCATTTCCATGTGATACTGTTTCTTGTAGCTTAATTTGTCATAGAGAGGAACTTTGCCATAGATATGGCCATTATTAGAGAATAGTAAACTAAAATATCAGGAATCCTTGGATCTATTATTATTTCATGTTAGACAGATACAAGAAGGAGTCCTTGGGTAGTGCAAATGGTTAATACGCTCAGCTGCTAACTGAAAGGTGGAAGGTTCAAGTCTACCCAGAAATACCTCAGAAGAAAGGGCCAGTAAACTATTTCCAAGGTATCAGTCATTGAAAACCCCATGGAGCGCGACTGAGTTGCCAGGAGCCAGAGTCGACTCTACAGCAACTGTTTTCTTTTAACTACAAGAGGACTGAGAATCCATTTGTGGAAAATAATTGTAACAACAAATGCTAGCCTGTTAATGCTCTGAGGCCCATAGGAAAATAATAGAAAAATTATTTTTAAGTAGTTTGGATATCTTTAATGCAACATACAAAGCCAAGTAATTGTGTTTTTGAAAATGAATGAGAAAAACTGGTTATTAATTTTAGAAAATATATAGATGTTTTCCTTTGTTATAGGGTGAATATTTATCTTTTCATTATGTTCATTAGAAATATATGCTTTGTGATGACTTTCAAGCTTTTTAAGACAATTCATAGGAAGGAATACACTTTACACACAAACACACACACAACATACACATTGCTGAAACACATCCCACAAAACAGTACTTTCTTTTACCATGTATAATGCATTCAGATACTTTCCTTTCTATTTTAATTTTTATAAAATTCTAGCTGAGACCCACTAACTTGATTTCATGACTTGTGAAGGGATCATGTCCAACATTTTGAAAAACATGTTATAAAACATAAATATTACTTTGTACAAAACATAAATGATCTATGGAGCATCACTGGGCATCATGTATTCCTGTAACAGTAATACCAGCTATTATTAATTGAGCACATATTATGCCATGTTGTTGTTGTTGTTACGTGCCGTCAAGTTGGCCCCAACTCATAGCGACCCCTCCTTGAGTTTCCGAGGCAGTATCACTACAGAAGTAAGATTGCCCAACCTTCCTTCCGAGGAGTGGCTGGTGGGTTTGAACCGCCAGCCTTCTGGTTAGCAGTCAAGTGCTTTAGCCACTATGCTACCAGAGCTCCTTATTATGCCATGGGAAAATTCTATTCAGAATGGCAATTGTTATAAAGCAGAGCATCTACATCAGTTCTTTAAAAGAAGAGTGGGGTGATAAAGTTTGGGTCAACTGCTAAAAATGAAAAATATTTACGGTAAGAAAATGTTGGTTCTGAAACAAAATCATACCACAAAATCTTTTGACAAACCAAGACATTTGTATAGAAACATACTTTCCTGATATTTTTCTCCTCTTCTTCTAAGGTTTGGGGTTGTGGGGAACCTATTAAAAAGTATATTATAAAAATCATACATTTAATTTTAAAATTACATTTCTATTTTCAATTATAATTACAATTCAATTACAATTCAAAAGATTCTGAAGCTTTATATAGTATAAATTAAAATAATTTCTCCTCACTGATTAAGAACTGTTGGAAGACCAGAAAAATGATAAACAGATATAGCCAGGTTCACAGCACCCCTGCAAAGAAGAAAGAAAAGGCTTTGAGAATTGCCTGATCAGATGTCCTTGGGGAAGAAAAACATGATAAAATCATTTCATTTATTCATTCACTAATTACAATTGTGTAAATACCGTGTGTTGATAAAATGATAAGGATCAGGAGAGAATGTAGAATTATTTGGGGCTGCAGTTCACAGATGCCACAACAGTAAGGAAAAAAACAAGCCAAACTCACTGCCACTGAATCAATTCTGACTCATAGCAACCCCCGTTGGGTTTCCAAGGCAATAGATCTTTACAGAAGTAGATTGCCTCATCTTCTTCCTGCGGAGCAGCTGGTGGGTTTGAACCGCCAACCTTCATGGTTAGCAAGCAAATGCCTTACCCACTAAGCCACCAGAGCTCCTTACAACATTAAGAAGATTTGAAAAATCAATTTATCTTAATGGACGAGGCGACTTACAATACCCTTACGTGCACTACAAAAAGTTATGGCTACTTAACATCTCAAGTATTTTGAGTAATTGTTATTTTCTTCTATTTTCAAATTGGATTTTGAGATTTACATTTTGTGGGGTTTTTAGCAACCAACCACATGCTGCTCAAGACTTTGCATTTCCAAGGGTGCACTGCTCTGAGAATTCTTCATTTCTGAGCTAATAGTTGGAACTGAATTTGCCTGTTCTCACCTCTTGACCTTTGCATTCAAGAAACAGCTGTGCCAGGCAACTGTTGCTTTAGTCAGTTGTCACCACAAAATGCACAACTTTGAGGGGACCAATTTCTCTGGACAGGGATTGGAGCAAGTGTGTGTGTGTGTGTGTGTGTGTGCGCGCGCGCGTGCACGCGCATGTGCACGTATATGCCTACACAAGTGTAGCGGGTGGGAGATGCTTTGGGGGAGAAAGCAGCTGTAGAGTCATCTATCTGGAATTTCTCATCATTTATGCTTACCATGGTAAATGGGATCTTCTTGTTTCTGCAAGCCCCCCCCCCCAAGACTCCACAGTCTTAACTAAGAAGACTCCACAGTTTTTATTTAGCTTGATCATTGGGGCCTTTTTTTCATATGAATGTACATGGTTTCCTTGATACCAGGTTTCACATACACTTTGTTGAAGCATTTTATTGAATTATTGCTCTCTTGGCATGAACCCAGTAGAGACACTGTCACCATCCCATGCAGTTGGCCAGATTTGTAATATTCTTTGGCAATTTTTTCAAATCAAAGCTCTAAAGCTGAGAGACTAAG